ATCGGTCAAATGATTAGTTGGTAGATCATTCATAAAATAAAAAGCTAATATTATGAATTCTAAAAAGTAACAATCAACTAGTCGAGTAGAATAAAAGTAAGTAGTGAGAAACGGGTTGGAGGACGAACAAGCAATGTAGCGAGCAAATCAAGTGACGAGATAGGTGAGTAGTCAAAATCTAAACGAGATAAAGTTTAAATATTATCCGACATGAGTGACGAGTAGGTGGGTGGTTAAAATCTAAACGAGATAAATTTTAAATATTGTTTGATGCGAGTGAGAGAATTTGAGATAGATTGTTAAGATGTTTTTTTGCTAAGGACTAAAAAAATTAAAATCTCATTGCAATGATGTAGGGTTGATACTTAAGTGAATTGAAGATATTTCTTGACTATTAGGATTGTGCGACATCATTTATATTTGGACGGTCGATCACCTATTTTTCGCGTGTCATGGTAGACACATATTGAATTTTAATAAAAATAAAAAATTCTTATGTGGCAAGTCGTTATTGGCTAAAGCTTGACAACTTGCCATATGTGTTTACGTGAACATTACGGTTTGAATATCAACAATATAAGAGTAAAATTCTTAAATTGGATAAAATTTTTTTTTAGGATTTCAATAAAAAAAATTATACGAGATCTCAATATGCATAAAACACTTTTCTACTAAGGCTAAATGAAGTGATAATTAAGCTTTTTTTTTTTTTAATGAATTTTACTTTGAATCGACCAAACCAATCTTCCTAATGCATCTTAATAATAAGCCTAACAATAGCTATGTTAGAATATCTATATCTATCTTTGTGTCGATCGAGCCTAATCTTCAATCTAATCTATTTATTGTGTAGTTTAAAATCCATGACGAAATATAAAAAAATAACACGTATTGGTGCATAATAAAATTAATTAAATTCTTGGTTATTTTTTATGAACATATACGGTATTATATCATAATTTTTCAAAGATTGACGGATGAGCATATCCATATGGTGTTGCGTTTGTGTTTGTATTTTTTTCTCAAAAAAGAAAAGAAAAGAAAAAGGCCAGATAGTCAGTTACTGTCCCAAATCGATAAACGTGGGTGCGGGAAGCTCCGCTAATTTCTTGTCAAACGTTTCGCCTTTCATCTGAAAAGGACGTGGATGCGGAGAGACACAATTCAAGAACTCACGTTAAAATTTTTAAGGAGACTAACAAATAAATAACAATACTGGCGTTCTTCATTTAACAATTGAGTTTTCATTCATTTATAGTCGCCCAAAAAGGTCTAAAAAACAGCTTAAATGATTATATTTTGTTATCTTAGTTTGTAAAATACAATTATTGATCGAAATACTTTATTTAAGATAAAAACAATATTTTACTCCTCATTGAATTTTTTTTTTATTACTACTACTGCTACTTCTATTATTATTATTATTATTATAATAGTTCTCGTGGATCGGTAACAGGTAAGCTTTAGGTGGAAGGGGTGGTGTTCTTTTTCCTGGACCAACAAAATACAACGTTTGTTAGTTCACGATGGTTTCTTCAACTTGTTTAGCCATTTTTGTAAGGAAGTTGACAAAATTACGAGTTTCAACTTTCAAAACTCTTTTAAACAAAAGTCCAAGTTAAACCTCTCTAAAAATAATAAAAAATGTTTGTAAACTTCTTTTTAAGCACCCAACACTACATATAACCATTTGTAAACGATGATAAACAATTACTAGGTTGAACTAGTTCCTCCATTTCTAAATCCGTGTGCTTCTCAATAAATAAACTAGGGTTGACGTCCCTGCCACCTGCTCCCTCGGTGGAAATTTCCCCAAGGTATATAAGGCTCTGAGGCCGGCCAAGAGCTCAACAAACATCTCAATTTAGCCCCTCTACGATTATTTTTAGAAGCTGAAATATGCAACATAATATAATTTAGTTCCAGGCTTAGCTGTCAATACGGCTATAAATATCGAAACTCATTAAGTTGAAATTAAGTTAAAGAAAAAAAAAAAACTTAAAGGACATGTTTTGACAATAATGTCATCATAAAAATATATGCTCCAGTTATTTATCAGTTGAAAAATGCTAGCATAAAAATTAAAAAAAAACAAGAAGACTAAAGAAACTAATACCTCTCTCCGTTGGAACGCGTTCATGCCATTGTAGGCCACCGATCATATTCCTTGAACCCCAAAGAAAACAGTATTGAAACAAATAAACAATTAAGAAAAATAAGCATGACATACTGGCATGAATGGAATTTCTTATTCCATTATCCTACCTCCTGAAAACAATGGTGGCTGCCCATCAATCTGTTTCATTTTGCGAGTAATAAAATCTCATTCAACTTATAATTCCCATACTTTTGAACCCAAATAATACTTAAATGTAACATATGATAGTATTTTCCGCATTGGTGTAAACATAAATGTTGCCTAACCTACCCTTTCTTGTTATTAAATTCCCTTTTCCTGTTTCCTGTTCACTCTAATTGTTGAATTGATGAAATTTGAAATTGAAAACATATCATCCTTCTTCCAATTGATACCTTCAAGCGCTTTACTGCGTCAACGAGAATGCCCTGCCGTTTCAGAAATTGGACAAAGGGCTTTCTCGTGGCATATCCTGAGGCTGAGCTGCCTTTAATGTTTGCTCAATGTAAAATAATTATTGAATGTCCTTTGATCTGTTATAAGCTATTCAGTAACAACATCGATGGTTCGAATTTTAGAGGAAAAAAAATTGCCTAAAAGAAAAATTTTCACGAATGCACAAATGGGGAAAGGGATATAATGCCTATTCGGTATTTAAGGATGCGGTTGTTTTTTTTTTTTTTTTTTTTTGTTTTTTTCCCAAAAAAATCAACCCCTTATCTTTTGAGTAAATTATAAATTAGTCCCTCTTATTTTGAGAAACAAGTGAATTAGTTCCTTTGGATTTAAAAACTAATTATTTAGTTTCTTAACTAGTGTTTATCACTAGTAATTTAATATTTTTTTATTTTATAAAATCTCTTCTTTTCTTATTAATATTTTCATATTTTTACTTATTTTTTATTTTTTTCAATTTCTTTTTTAAAAAATAAAATAAATGAAAAAAATAATAAATAATTAGTTTTTGAAATCAAATAGACTAATTAATTTGTTTTTCAAAACGAGATGAACTAATTTATAATTTACTCATTATTTTAGTAATTAAAAACTAGTTATAGCCTATGGGATTTGTACGAGTCCCAAAAAAAAAAAAAAAAAAATCAGGTCTAGGTAAATTATATTCACGACTTAATTTTTAAGGGTTTCTCTGGTTAAGAAATTAAGCTATATTTGTAACTATACCCATGACGCAAGTATGATTGTGGTTGTAACTACAGTGATGATTAAAAGAAAAAATATATGGTTAAAAAAAAGTTGAAATAAAGATATAATATAAGAAAAAAATCTAGAAAAACTCGAAAAGTTAGAAAATATTTAAAATGGAACTTCTCTAGTTTTTTCAGTTATGGAATCCGTTTGAATTCTATAACTAGCATTTGGCTATCAAATAGATTTAAATTAACTTTACACGTAGAAAATCAAAACGACCAATCTCATTGATAAATAAATACTAATCAAACTAATTTTCAATCCTATCATATAAAAACTGATCCGGTAATATTATAGGTGAAATGTTAAAACACGAAGATAAAAAAATTCCTCAATGCAATCCGTTTATGTCCTGCCATAGATTCCATTAGCCAAGTTAATGAAATCATCCCTTCCCCAGCACTTAATTACCAGGTAGAAGAGATGGCAGATGATCTAATGGTATCAAAACATATGAACATGAGCCGGAATCTTCAAGATTATTGACTGTATTTACAAACGTGAAAAGTCTTCCTTCATCAGTACATCTGTACCCAATAATTAAGAGTACAGGACATAAAAGAATGGGCAACGTTGGATTTTAGTGCAAGACAAAAGAAAAGACAAGCATTGTTAACAACAAAATTTTGACTCTAGTGAAATGTACCTACAAAATTAAAGCTTGCACCCCCTGCTGCGAGACAATTACAAATAGAAAGGGATAGAAAAACTGAGCTCTAAAATGGAAATTCCAAAATATAATACTTGTGGAAGGTTGGACCAAAACATGGACAAGCCAATAGAGAGAGAGATTTAGTATAATAAACAGAGAAGGTTTGTCCAAACTGACAAAATAATTAGACAGCAGTTTTTCAAAGCAAAATAATGAGGGCAGAGGGACATATCACAGCAAACAAAAGTAAATAAACATACTTAGGTCTCTCTCTCAAAGCCTGGTGGTTCATTCATTAAACAAACCAAACGTTCTGGAAGAAGGGATGATCTGATGCTTTCGTCAACAAACAAGAATAAATAAAAGGTTTAGAGTTCCCTCGGAAGCATCTCATTAGTACTACTAATTAGGTTTCTCTTTTAATCTAACCTTGTTTTTTTAATCCTTTTCCTCTATTATGCTACCATACTGTCTCTAATTCTTGCAAAGCCTTGTCAGGTTGCCGGCTGCTGTCAGGGTCCTACCACGATCCTCCATGTGGCACACCATTGGCCGTTGGATGGTTCCGAAAATGGAAAGACCCAATCAGATGGAACGAGAAACCAGAGGGTTGGAATGTTAAACAATTCATGAGGTTTAATTTTTAATCTATTAATTAATCGAGGCATATTCGTTCACAGAACATTTTCTTTTGTGGACCAACATGCCCATTAAATTTTTATGCGATAACGATATGTCCACGTGATCAATGGTGGGAATTTGCCAACCTTATTCTTCTTCTTTAGCTTGGTAGCTAACCACCGACTAGTTCTTAATTATATTCTACTTAATAAAGACAAAAAAAGAAAGAAAGAAAGAAGAAAGGTATTAACTTTAATTAAACCAGAGAATTAAACAATGAATATGCGATTATATGATGAACCTGCCTAGCTAAGCGCCGCATGCACCATCACAATTCATTATTGGTATTAGCTTGATCCTCCTTTGCTTTTTTTGGGTGAGTCACACCGCAATAACACTACCAATCATAAGCCATGAGCGTAGAATTATGACATATGTGAAGTGAGAGGGAACCAGCAAGGAGGAAAGTTGGATGAGCATGATTTTAAAATCCAAGAGTGGTGGCTGATCCTCCCATTTCTCCAATAGAGGGTCTTGTAAGTTGTAAGTGCAACTGGATGTCCAGGAAAACCTGGAACTATATGATTGGTAAGTTTTATCTACAAGATAAAATGGGGGTTTAACTGTATAGCAATAAATATTCTGACCAATGTTTTCAACCCCAGACACGGACTGGACCATTTGTACTATCGACCCATCAGCCGTTCTGTTCTCAGACGGCCAGTTCATCGCAGACCAGGATTGCACAGCAAACATTAATTACTGATGATGTATGTAGATCAAAGAGTGTAATTTGATTTGTTCGAAAAAAATAAAATAAAAATTATTCTAGTTGCTGAAATTTAGCCATGTCTATCTGCAGAATATATTTTATTTCATTTCTAATTTCCGTTCCCCCACCCTTATTTAATTCCCTTTTCTTCTTTATTTCCAATTTCTAAAGCGGTGGGATGCATATTTTTGTTTTTTTCCTTCGGTAAATCAAAAGCGGCGCGAAGTTTAAAAATTGGGGAAGTGTTTTTTCGATGTGAGCTTGAGACACAGGCATGCCCCACGATTTTCAAGTGGTGAAGGGGACTTTTTGTCCTCTGAAAAATATATATTTTGTCATGAACTTGAAATCTAAATCAAGTCCGGTGTTTTTTTCTTTTCTTTTCTTTTTGTACGCAAAATCCCTTGTTTTCCAGGAGAACTTGAGAAAAGATTGGATTGATTTTACTATTTCCTGATAATTAAATGAGACAACATCTTTAAAGTACTTTCAAGACCAAATATAAACCGGAAAGAAACAGAAGGTAAGGATTTAATTCTTTAATTTGTTTGAAGAGATATCACATTATGCAAGCAATCCCATGGTATTTCTTTGTTTTTTGTGAAAAAAATAACATATACAAAATAGTCTTGGTTTGCAACCGCTAAAAAGCTTGATATTTTGACCACTAATTTGTCAACAATTCGCTTGTACTTTACAAGTCATGTTCCGTTACAGTAATTCATGACATACTTTCCTCCAAAGAAATTCATAACAGCACCCTTCGTTTATTCCGGCCGGGTGCATACCTAGCTAATTCATTGCTTGTCTTTTTAATTCCACGAGTCTATTCCTGTTTCTAACACATAATTAGCAGGGAAAAAACGTATTACACATAATTAGCAGTCAAAATATGAAGCATTGCCATCCAGTAAGTCTAAAACTTGTGGACAAAGAGATGGATTTAAATAATTAGATGACAGAAAGCAGCACTACGGGGCATCTACAAGCAGTAGAAAGAGAGAAGAGAGAACCTTTTTCTTTTAGTAACATGTATTAACTATTACGGTTGACAATAGACATGGTACATAAGCTGGCGCACAACGCACTGCCAGTAATTTGCGAGTCCCCTATCCTAAGGGCTATGTATGGTAAAAGAATCCATGAAACTTGACCTTTTCGAAATGTTTGGCTACCAAATGAAAATGGGTCCTCCAAGCTGGTCACAATCTGCAAGCCAGGCAAATGGTTGTTTCAATCATTGTTGGGCTCAATATACAATATATGAAAAGATAAATAAAGTAAAGGGTGAATAAAACCGAGTAAGGGGAAGAAAAAACATCAACATCCCACGTCAGGATCACGGCATGCATCAAGCACTTTGGATCAGGACCTACCAAACCAAAATGTTAACGATCCAACGGTGATGTGTTAACCAAGTGGTCAAGTTCATTTACAAGGATTATCTGTAAGTGGAGTTGTGCCTGCTTGATGGGTCCTAGACGGTTCTTTCTACATGTTGGCAAAACATCAGGGAAAATGCCCATCTCTCACTATCGTATGTTTCTACTAAAAATCCTCAACAGGAAGGACCAATTTGCCTTTGAAAAATGTAAGTGTTTGCTACCCGGGAAATGGGAAGCCAATTTGACAATCGAAAATTATTGAGGGAACATGGATGCTACAAACCGGATACAGATGTTCCGTGAAAATCATGCAGTCATGAACTTTCTCCTCAACTCTTATTAATTTCATAATAAAAGAAATTTGTATGAAAATGAAAACAAGAGATTAAGCAAGAACTCCTACTTCTCCATTCTCGTGGGTCATAAATTGAACTAATAAATCTCATCCAATTGACAATCACTTTGGGTTAACTACATGCGTATTCCGTCATACGTTAGTTTTGCCGACCAAATCGTTGCACACTTTATTGATCTTCCCGGACAATAGAATAATGGCCGAGTTTCAGTTTCATCAGCAACACTGCTTCAAGAGATTTATCTTGGGCATTGTAGAGTCCAACACCAAGTTCATTTAAGACAGCCTACATGTGACAAAGCAAATATATATATATATATATCACACGTGACACTTCTCATGTATAATTATTCTAACTAGTTGTGGTTAGTTATAGCTAGTAATTAAGTCGGTTAATAATTGTTCGGTTAGTCGGCTTTACTAAACATTTAGTTAGCTTTTCTTTCTTCGGTTTTTTTTTCCCTTCGTCTTGCTGTGTATAAATACTAAACAATAGAGTATAATAATGTGGGACTCGTAATTGACATTTATGTCTTGTCGTGTATAAATACTAAACAATAGAGTATAATAATGTGTGACTGTAATTGACATCACACAAAGCGAAGAATATCAATTTTACTTCCTTTTCGCATTTCTCTAGTTTTCTTTGTTGCTTAAACATGGTATCAAAGTGTCACAATTTAGGGAGTGAGCCATAACCGACACAAGAATCGAGGGAATCGTGAGCCACCTCGACTCAAGCAAGTCTCAAATAACTAAAATTAAATCCTCAAATTTGTATCACCTCAAATATCATTTTAATTTGCACTATCCCAAATTAATAGTCATTTTATAACTTCAACATAATTGATAATTGAATGTCATTCTCAAATCAATATTCAAGATCAAATTCTAATACAATACCCATAGGTCATGAATCGCAAAGCTTCTAAGAATACAACAAAATAAAACATAGGTTCTAAGAATTTACAAGAAAATAAACGAGCACGATCAATGTGCCAATTTAAAACAAGTAGCTGAATGGAAGCAAAAAGACATCCTCACAAATCCCGCAAAACCGAAATAGAAAAGGATGAACAATCAATAGTTCGGTGAGTAGATACTATATATATCGAGCATATACTATATACATCATAATCATTTCATATCAAATCATCGAATTATATATATATATATATATCGTAATCATATCAAAACATTTGTCTAGGTTTTTATTTACCCGTGGGCTAAAATGTATTATTGGATTCAAACATTCAAAGGTCAAGCCTCCCATGACTAGGTTTTCATATGTTGGTCGACACACGAGCTAACACTCTACCTTTCTTGCTAGCTGGAGCCTTGTATCTTTGAGCTCAATCTATGCCCCCCATAACTAGGTTCCTTAGGGTCTCAAAAACATTTCAAAAATTATATAAACTTATACATATTTCAAAACATGTGTTTCAAACACAATGCATGCTCCAAATCGAATTCACAATACAATCTCATATCAAATAAGCATTTACAAAAATTATACGTATAATCAAAATAATCATCTAAAGTAAATTAGCATTTAAATCCGTAAATACATATCTAACCAAGTAAAATACTTATTCAAACATATACACAATTCTCTTTTTAAAACCATATCAAACCATTTTGATACAAAATCATTTCAAATACGTACACGATCCATTTCCATCTAAGTTTTAACTAATGCAATTAAATCATACTTAAACCAATGATACATGACGAACATAATCAAAGAAATTCAAAAAGTATGATATGTTATATAATATCCACTCACAATACAAACAATGAATCGAACGGATTAAGTTTGTTATGAAAGAGTCGTTCACTTCGAAAAATCTAATAAGATAAGATGGTAAAACAATCATCAATATCATATATCAAAAAATAATTCAAACAAATGAATTATTTTAGAATTAGGAATATAAGATTCTCAAGAAAAATGGATTTGATCGAAAGGACTCAAACCGATAGCCTTAACTAGATTCTATAATCTCTTCAATAATTCTACACAATTGCCTAATCATATCCCATTATCAATTCTCAATTCAATCAACCATCATACATATCATCTTTTCTCAAATTTAATTTAAACCTTTTGAAAAATTAATTTTCAATTAAATGATTAATTTTATTTTAATCCACTCAATACTCAATCCATTCATCTTTAATTGCATCTAAACAACTTAATCCTTTATTTTCTCCAAATTCTTTTCAATTCTAAACCTAATTTTTAGATTTTCATTATTCATCATCTTCAACCTCTCAATTACTCAAATTTACTCAATTTAACTTCAAATTAACTGCTTGAACCACTTACCCAAGACAATTAAATATCATTCAAACTTTTAGAATCACTTACTCAAACTTTTTCCCAAATGGATCTAAAAAAGCCTAACCTTAATCTAATCAATTCTTCAAGCAAATCATAACCCAATCCAATTCTACTTCAACATCATCATTAACTGTATATAAGCATCACATTTCAAATATCAAGTGATCAAAATCTTACCTTTGACACTCGTGCTCTTCAATCCTTAATTTCTTTCTAGTTCTTCAAGCTTTCCAAGCTTCAAAAGCTTCAAACTAACAAAGCTCCACTTAAATCAGCTTGTTTAAGGTTTTCCTAAACTAATTTAACAATGATTTAGCTTAGAGATCAAAGAAGGGAATTTGCAAGAAAATTGGAGAGAATGGTGCGAGGGAGGAAGAGAAAGAAGAAGAAAATTCTAGAAAGGGCGATTCTTGCCCTTTTTTATACCAGACCCAAAATTTATTGATTATTGATTATTTTTATTTTTTTTAACTTAATTATAATTATTCTTAAGTTAGGTTATCACATTCTCCCCCTTAAGAAAATTTATCCTCAAATTCAATTTTGATCATATCTCGGTAAGCAAACAAGTGAGGGTACTTCCTCTTCATTTCCTTCATAGCCTCCTAAGTGGCTTATTTGATTGAATGGTTTTGCTAAATGGCCTTAACGAAGATGATCTCCTTATTCCATAATTTCTTAACTCGAAGATCTATTATTTCCATCGATTGCTCCTCATATGATAAGTTAGGATTTAAATCCACTAATTATGATTCTAAGATGTGAGGTGGGTCTAGTATATGTTTTCTTAACATGGAAATATGAAACTCCGGATGCACACTTGAAAATTGTGGTGGCAATGCCAACTCATAAGCACTCGCTCTAATTCGATCAATAATCTCAAACGGCCCAATATATCTTATGCTCAACTTCTTGCCAAACCACATCACTCCCTTCATTAGAGAAATTTGAAGAAACGTATAATCATTATTTTGAAACTCCATATGTCTCCTCTTTGTATCCGTATAACTCTTTTATCTATTATGCGCAGATCCTAAGGCATTTTTAGATTAACTTCACCTTCTCAATAGTAAGCTGAATCAATTTAGGCCCTAAAGGTTCCTTTTCCCAGCCTTCCCCCAACATATTGGTGATCTACACTTTTGGTTATACAACTTCTCATACAATGCCATATCGATTCTAGAGTGATAACTATCATTATATAAGAATTTGATTATTAGCCTTTTAGATCCGTTACACATGCTTTAAGCATATCTTTTAAGGTCTAAATTGTTGTTTTTGACGGACCATCTATTTGAGGATGAAATATCATACCGAAGTCTAATCTCGTACCTAGAGCCTCTTATATTTTTCTTTAGAATCAAAAAGCAAAATGAGAATCTTGATTTAAAATGATGGAGACTAGAATGTCATGTAAGGACATTGTCCAATCAATAAATAACTAGCCATATTAATCATACCCATAGGTGGTCTTTACAAGCAAAAAGTGAGCGAAATTAGTTAATATATCCATAATAACCCAAATCAAATCATAACTCGCTTGGGTTTGAGGCAAACCCATTATGAAATCTATTATCATTCTTTTTCACTTTCACTTCAGTAATGGTAACTCTTGTAACATTTTTATTGGCCTCTCGGTGCTTATACTTTACTTACCGATAAGTCAAACACCTCGAAACAAACTTCATAATATCTTTCTTCATTATAATCCATCAATAATGCTCACGAAGATCTTTATACATCTTGACATAACTTGGATGTACATTGTAATCGTACTTATGAGCCTCTATTAAAATTTGATAAAATCATAAAGTGCCTCTATTATTAACTTTAAAACCTAAATTTTTTTTTTTGGTGTTTTGGTGAAAATCTCTTGTATCTCTTTATCATTCATTTGAGCATCTCATATCCGATCCATCAAAATTGGCCTAACCATAATATAGGCCAACAGAGCACCTAATTTATTATCTCTAAACACCACTCTAGAATCTCATAATCTATTCACTTCTAATGTCAATGGCTATCTTTCGTTTGATATGTGAGCCAACTCTCAATTGACTTCCTACTCGAGGCATCGCCTACCACATTAACCTTACATGAATGATACAAGATAGTACATTCATAATCCTCAAGTAGTTTCATTCACCTCTTTTTCCTTAAATTCAAATCTTTCTAATCAAATATGCACTTTAAAATTTTATAATCTATGTAGATCTCATAAGTCTTTCCATACAAATAATGTCTCTAAATCTTTAAGACAAATATCGGTACTACTAATTCTAAGTCATGCGTAGATAGCTATGTTCATGTTTCTTTAGCTACCTCGAAGCATAAGATACTATTCTATCATATTGCATCAATACACATCCTAACTTTGCTCTCAACATAAAATGCTAAAATCCCACCACTTCTTAAGTGTAAAGTAAGGACTAAAGCTCGTGGTTAAACACATTTTTAGTTTTTGAAAGCTATCCTCAAACTTATCCGACCACCAAAACCTCACATTATTCTAAGTCAACTTAGTTAAAGGTGTTGTAATTCTTAAGAAGCCTTGCACAAACCTTTTGGTAATATCTAATCGGACCTAAAAAGCTTTCAATCTCT